CAGAGAAAATATTAAAACTTGCTATTTGTCAGTGTCATGGGTCCTTGTACCTAGCAGATAAAGTATGCATGTTTCAGGCATGTGCTGGCATTACAGTCCACAGCACACATCACAGATCAAGCAGGACTTTTCTCTGTTGGACTCTGATGTGATTTGACCTCCCTGTACATCATCACACTCCAGGTAGCTACAACCAATCAATCACAGTTGGCCCAAGTGTTAAATCTATTAACTTCCTGTCCTGGTTAGGTCTTATAGCCAATCTCTCTTGCATTTATACCAAATATTCTCCTCTTTTCAAATTAAGAACCTTCCCACCTTCCTCCTCTTTCCCTGCAGATGACTGTACCTTCCACTTAGAGAATGGAGATCTGATTAGAAGCCATCAGTAGAGGACTCACTCACCTTTGCACCACCAAGCTACCTGCCTGCGGACCCTCTCCATCCCTTTCTCAGGTTTCAGGTGAAGAGGTTTCCTCCTCTACCTGATCTCTGATCCCTCCTTTCCTGGATCTGGAACCTCTTTTTCTCTGTTTGTGCAGCCTTAGCCATTCTTTGGCATTCTTCCATTGTGTCTTGAGCATGCTCAGTGCTTTCCCATCTTCAACAACAGGTGGGCGAATTGGGGGAAACATAGTTACCAGTTTTTATAAATACTTTCTCCCATTTTTATTTTGCTCAGGAAGGACCTTGAGACCCCTTTCTGTCTTCTATCATCACAATTTTTTAAAGTAATGGATGTTTTAATTTCAAATAATGTAAACGAGATAATTTCAGCACACCAGATAAATCTGCAAATTGAAGAAATTTAGCTAATAAAGAGTTTACCGTCATACTCCTTTTCTTCAGTTACTTGCCAATTAGAAAAAAAAAATCTAAGAATCCACTTCTACAAGTGAATGGACTAGGAGATCTCAGAGGCTCTTGTGCACATGCATGAGCCTGGTAGTTAAGAATGGGCCTCCTCTCCCCATGGGCTGGCATCCATCACCCATGGCAGTGTTCACATGGTGTGTTCCAGAACACCTGGGCTTACCACTCTGGCCACAGTCAACTCCCAGTGAGGCAGGGTTTTCATCTGGGCCTCCAAATATCACCTGGGCATGGGTCTTTCACCCAGGACATGACAAATAGCAGGTGGCCAGGTGTTTTTCTCTTGCATGTCTGGACTCTACTGTCTGTAAGCCTACTGCATAACCCCTGGGAGAGGTCAAGTTGTGCCACATTGCTGAAACATCTCAGACACCAGCACACACGTACATCTGTGAGATGTGTCAGCTAAACAAACACCCTTTTGCAGGCTACTACCAACAGTTCTGAACACATCCAGCAGGGGTACGATGTGCAGGAAAGGGCTAAGACTGGGATCTGAAGGCCAGGGCACAAGTTGAAGATTTATCTGTGGGCCTGGAGAAAGCCACTCATCTGCACTTTAGTTTTCATGTGCAAAATGAGGAAACTGTAATTAAATCCATCTCATGGAAGAACCTGGCATGGTGGCTGGCACTTACTAGGTGTTTTTATTAAAATAATTCCTCTACCAGAACAGAATGAATGTATCTAGCTAATCTAATGAGGCAAGTGTATTATCCCCATTTTATAGACGAGAGATTGAGGCTCTTGGAAGTGGAATGGCTTTCCTAGGGTCTCCTAGCTGACAGTGGTAGAGCCAGGCTTCACATCCAGGCCTCCTGACAAGATCTCGGCCTTTGAAGCCCCTGGAGAGCAGCACAGAGGAGGACCAGACTGCCTGCAGGAGGAAGCATCCCTGCCCATCCTGCTGGGCTCACAGGGCAGGGTTATGGAGCTGGGTGGGGAAGGCTCTTCATAAGTGCTGGAGKGTCCAGGCAGTTAGAGGCTCAATCTCTCACCTTCTTTTCCTGGGCTGGATTCCAAAGGTGACCTACCATGTTATGGCAGGACCTCAGCCTGGAAGGGCAGGACCTTGGCAGTGCCTGGTCCCACACCTGGTGAGGCTATTTCCTAAGATATTCTCTGGAAACACCCATGGAGTCTGGCTCAGAGAGTCTCTGGAGTGAGCAGACAATATGCCTGGGGTGGCTAAGTGTCTCTCTGGTGGTGTGGGCCCTCCTCATTCCTGCAGCCTTGGGGTTCCTCTGCTTTCCTTGAGGTTCCTCTGCTTTCCTTGAGGATCCAGCAAGGATTGGCAACAGGAGGCCAGCTGAGCCTCAAGGTCCCCCTTCTCAGTCTGGGATGCCCCACAATGGGCCCACAGAGGCTCCAGACAGGCGCTGTACTGAGGGAGTGTGCCACTGGGGTCCTGGGCATAAATCCTTCAGCCTGTCCTCTGGTGTGGGACTTGGGAGTGACGTGCCCACGGGAACCTAAAGAGCAGAGTGGGCTCTTGTCACCAGTTTTGTGTGAACACATTCTGGGCCAGTACTCTGTCTGCTACAGGCCCACTCTGTTGGCTGGCTGCCCTGCTCACTGTTCAGAGTTCTGGATCACAGCTTCCTGACTGGTGTCCTGACTGGCTCTGTCCCCAGCTCATGCCCCTGCCCTTGTGGCCTTCAGTTTGCTAGTTGAGGTTGGAAGGCTGCAGAATTCCTGGGTTGAGAGATTTGCTGTGCAGAGTTGGCCATTTGTTCTAGGCATAGCTGAGTAAGAAAGTGGCGGCCACCAGCAGGCTGTGTGTGGCTCCAGACATTTTTTTTTTTTTTTACAAGGAGGGTCCAGGAGAGCAGGTGGGGCTGCTTTACCCCACTTTACTGCTGGCTTAGCCTAAGAAGCTCACCAGACCAGGGGAGACCAGGATGGGAGCTCTGGTCAATGTTCATTCTTCCATTCACCATCAAAGACACAGAGACGATTAAGTGGTGCCTACCCTTCCAGAGCTCAAGGTGAGGGTGAGAGACAGACGCAGCCCCATCCACTGGTTATAATGTGGGGAACAGTCTAGAGGCAGGAGAAGGCAAGGAAGTGGGAGCTGAGAAGGCTTGGACTGGGCTAGCAGTAGGGGGACAGAGTGGATGAGTTTGGGGTCTTTCTGGTGGTCTGTCTGCAGATCTGACCAGTGCCTGACAGATTTCTGGAGATGGGAGAGTGGAGCTGGGCACGACACTTGTGTGCTGGCCTGGTATTGAGTGGACATCGTGCCTCCATGGATCTGGAGTTTCAGGAGAGGAGGTCAGCATCTAGGGCTGCCCACACTGCCATGCTATTCCTCTTTAGACACAGTTTCCTCTGCCACAGAAGAGAGCTTCAGAGCACCCAGGTGCTGGGTGACTCTGGTCCTGGGTCCTGGGGCAGGCAGGTGGGAACCATGTATTCAAGTGGGGCAGCTGGCTGTCACTAGCCTGTCTCAGACTCGCTCTCTGGGGCTCCTCCCGGGGCTAAGGGGGAGGCAGGAGGTGAATGACACACACTGGTTGCCCACTGGAGTCTCTGAGGCTGTTCCAGTGCAGGATGCACTGCCCAAAGGACCACAGGGTGGTGGTGGGGGTTGGGTGGGCCTCTGGGTGGTGCAGGAGGGGGAGAGGGTGCTTGAGGACCATTTCTCTGCATGGGTCCTCCAAGTTGTCCTGACTCACACTAGGCCTTTGACAGGTGTCCTGCAGCAGGAGAATGGCCCTGCCCTTTCCACGAGATCAGTCAATGTTCTGCTACTGCAGGCTCCTCCCGACCCTCTGTGGGACCCCTACTTTGCCTGACACCTKTGTCTGAACAGCTCCCAGAATCCTAGATGGCCCAGGCCAGTCCTGGCTCTTCCTGTTCAGATGAATAAACTAAGGCTGGGAGAAGGGACTAGTCTTGCTGAAGGCCATAGTGGGCCATGGAAGGGCTCCAACATGAGCCCAGATCTCTTTCTGTCTAGCTGCTGTGGGACTGTCTCTGAGGGCCTGTGCCAGTGCCCGAGCCCCTTCTTTGTCCTTGAACTGTGCTAGGGGATGCAGAGGAGGAAAGAGCAGCCCAGACAGATGTACCCTTGGTTCTTGCCCTTGAAGTATTTGGGGTTGAACGGGTGGTGGAGGGGCAGACCTCAAACACTGGACATACCCTATCACAAAGTCAGGGCATCCATAGGTTCCTCTATGGGTTAGACTGAGTGCTGGACCTGGAGGGCAGTGTGTCTGAGGATGGGCCAGGGAAAGGGAGGGTAGGGGGCAGCAATGATGAGCCTGGCAGCAGGCCTGGTGAATATGCTTGTAAACATTGCCTTTAATTCTCAAGAAACAGGAAGTGAATTCTGTCAACCCAAATTGCAGGTAATTCTAGCAAGAAAAAAAGTTGCTATAAGCTATTGAGCAAAGTTACTGAAGACATATCATATCCTGGTCCCAAGATAAACATTGCTGTCACCGGCAAAGACATCCACAGGAAAAAGAAAGAAAAGTGAAGGAGAAGAGGGACACTCAGCAAGCCCTGCACCTGAACATCTGCATGAACTTCTGCATGAAGAGACTGATCCCCCAATAGAGAGCATCAAGTTCATGGATCCATATTGTGATTATATGTGTTATAGTGATGATGGTCATTTTGGCTGCCATTTTGAGTTCTTATTATGTGACAGGCTATTTAAATGCCGTCACTAATTCTTACCACCACTCTAAAGGCAGACATTGAAATTCATCAAATACTTATGGTTATCACTCCTATTTATGGAAGAGGGAATTGAGACTCTGAGAAGGTAATAGCTAAGGTGACTCAGGTAGAGTGGGACCTAGAGCCAGGACTGACGATTGCCAGAGCCCAGCACCTCCCCTGGGGCCACATGGCCCTCACAGCCTCGGCTCTGGCTCTGTTGGGTGGGCCTGAGATTGGGATGGACAGTGGAAGCTCTCAGTATGGCCCCTGGGGCAGGAAAGAGCCTGGGAAATTAACCTTGACTTGGCAGGGTCACTTCCCTAGCCCACAAGGACTGTTATGGAAGGACCCTTGTCCACAGCAGAAGGACAGTTTAGGTCCCAGCTCTGTTGCTTTCCTGYCCCACTCTGGGCCTTGACTTTTCCCTTCATGAAGTAGAGGTCAGGGTTCCAAACCTGCTCCGAAGGCAAAGAAGCAGATCTTGTCTTCATTCTCTTGCAGAAGCGCCATGACCCTCTTCCCCATGCGTTCATTCCTCTTGTAGATGAGCTCCTGGCGGAAGTAGCTGTCAATCTCCTGGGCTGTCACTTGCTCATGCGGTGGGAGGGTAGTGTTGATAAAATTGGGTAGCTGCAAAAGCAAGACAGAGGCTGCCTTCCATTCTTGACAGAGCAAGGTGCATATCAGATACACACGCGGCACAGGCAGGGCTGGGCAACTTACCTTTAMGAGGCTGGACAGTGGGCTACATGTTTCATGCCTGCCTGTCATCAATTCCAATACCCTCTGAAATAAGTATTGTTTACAGATGAAGCAAACAAGAGCAGAGAATATCCTGAGATATGTGCAAAGTCACTCAGCTGGTGAAGTGACAGAGCTATCCTGAGAATCCTGGCTACTGCAATGGTACGTGTGCCATCCTGCCTCCTGATCTGCCCTGGTGAACCTCAGCTCCTAGACACTGAGTATGAGTATGCTGGGGCCATACTCATCTCTCCCTTTAATGCTGAGCCTAGCACTGCCACATGCAATGAATTCTGTTCAGCAAGAGGGTGTGGGGGTCAATCCATCTGCCTGGTGTGGCAGGAAGACCACAAGGTATGGAATTAGGTTGACATGAGCTTTCTCAACCCTGTCTGACACTGTATGGTGCTGGGCAAGTTACTTAACATTTTTGATCCCCAGTTTTTCTCATTTATAGGACAGGACTGATGTTTTCATGGGGATTAAATGGGATGCTGCCTTGAACTGCATTTGGCTCACCCCACTCTACAGAGAAGAGAGGGGGTAGCATCACCTTCAGTTCTTCCAATGTCTAAGCCA